ATTTAGATCTTACTTCATTTTAAGGACATATGATACTGAATGGAACCCAAGTCTTTATCTAATCACTTATTTCATTTCATTATAACTTCCCTGTTTTTAAATCTGCCTTGCCTACTAAATCATGAGTCCCTTGAAGGTGGAAATCATATTTCATTTATCTTTCTATTCCCTACTGCTGAGTATAGTATTCTGACTCAATAGTTGTCTTTTGAGTAAAAGATAATTAACTCATCACTGTCAAACCATATTTACAATTCAGATTTGATTCATACCATCTTCATGCATTGTGTTTAGTTGAGCACAGTTGTGAGGGACTCACAGGTTCACCCTGAAAGCTTTCTCAGGCTGCCCCTCCCTCCCCACTCACACACCTGGTGGTGGTGGAAGGGGATGTATTTTGAAAAGGCTTCCCAGATGAGCAATGAGTTGGGGTGGAGTGGAGACAGATATTTTTCCCACCATGCAAGCCTGCATAGGGGCAGAGAGAAGAAAAATAAGATGCCCTTCTCTGAAAGCCTGCTCTCCTCCTCATCAGGCAAGGAAACTATACTCACCCAAACTGAAGCCTCATGCACCAGGAATAGGCATGTTTTTAAGGCCACCCTGTTGATGCAGCTGACACAGACATACTGAGAAGGAAAAGACGAGTAGAGAACTATTTCACATCAAAATAAATCTTAGCAACCTGCCTTTTAAGCATCAAATTAATTTAAAACTGTTCACAAAGAAACTTTGCCAAAAGGAGAAAATGTCAAATATTTGGAAATACTAAATCAAAGCAATGAAACTGTGCAAAGTTGAGACATTTGGATGGAATGTGCATTGGAAACAACCTCGCTGCGTCCAACGCAGCTCGAGATAGTGTCTGAGGACAGGCGACACAAGACTTAAGAAAAAAGAGACAAAGTAAAGAGCAAAGATGGGACCAGGGCACTCAAGATCTCGTGGATCCAGAGTGCTGAAAGCCTGGTCGACATCATATTTATTAGTATACAGCTCAGAAAAAAATGCTATCGAAGAAGTGGGGCTTTAGGTATTCCATGCAATAAACACTAAATTCTGCTTGCTGATTAACTGATTGATTTCAGGCCTGTCCCTTCCAGGAACAATCACCCTCTTCCGGGGTATGCAAAATTTCTAAGTCTATCCTGTTATTGCCTCTGGGAGATCTCGAGATAGCAAATATTTCCCCTGGGTTAAACCGCGTGCTTTCATGCCAGAACAAAGTTCTGTTAATGGATGATCTGGCTTTCCAGGACTATCCTTTGTTTTACCCTAAGGAAATATCTGCCCTCCTTCGTGCCCTTATGGTCAATCTCAGGATTGCCCCTCACAAATTTTCTTTAGCATAATACATGTTATAGGTCATCTACTGTGTAAAGCATTAAAACAAAGCAAGCATGTGCATTTTAAGCAAGTAAGTGTGAATATAATATTTTAAGCTCATGGAAATTTAGGTGCGGCTTGTTTTCTAGTTGCTTGTTTTCCAGCGGCTTGTTTTGCAGCAGCTTGTTTCCCAGCACAACCTGGAGCATCCATTAGCTTTGTTGGAAGTTTGAGATATTCAGCTCAAAGACTCACTCCTCAGAGGGCCTTCCCTGACCACCTGATCTCAAGCAGTCTCCCGGTTCTCTGTCACTCACTCTGTTTCCTGTCACTCTGTCTCATCATCGTGTGCCCTGTTTAATTTGTTTCACAACACCTTTCATCTAAAATTATCTTGTTTATTTATTCATTTCCTGTAGAATGTGTGGGCATCCCCTCTGTCTTATTTACTACAGTGCCCAGCTCCTTGGCAGGAGGAGGTGCTCAGTAAATATTTATCGACTAAGTGACAGTATTAATATTATGCATGGCTCATTGAAGATACTTCCTTAAAACTATTTTTCAAAATGTAAAAACTGTCAGAAAAAAAGTCACTCTGTTCAGGATTTGCCTCAAAAAAAAATGCTTGGAGAGTTGCCATAGCAGGGTGGTTAACAGCACAGAACAGAGTCAGATTACCTGGATGTGTCTCCTGTAGGACCCAGAAACACCTACAAAAGACTCATCTAGTGAGACTTCCAGGATTTAGTTCAAGTTTGTGCTCACAGCATTAAGAACACATTATTTATTTTGAAACACTCATGCAGTGGGGCCCAGAATGTAGCAGAAGAATGAGATGTGAGATTCCTTTTAAAATAAATTCCATGCTTAAGCTAAAAAAAAAAAAAAAGACACCAATGAACTTATTTACAAAACAGAAACAGACTCACAGACATAGAGAACAAACTTATGGTTAGCAGTGGGGAAAGGGGGAGGGAAGGGATAAACTGGCAGTTTGAGATTTGCAGATACTGACTACTATATATAAGACAGATAAACAACAGGGTCCTACTGTATAGCACAGGGAACTATATTCAATATCTTGTAGTAGCCTAAAGTGAAAAAGGACGTGGAAAGGAATATGTGTACGTACATGTATAACTGAAACGTTGTACACCAGGAACTGATGCAACATTATAAACTGACTGTAACTTACTTAAAAAAATTCCAATCTTAAAGCATGCCTATATTTACTAACCTCTAAAAAATATTTCCTTCTGTCTCCCATGAAAACATAAAGCTATTAAAAGTCTTTGAGATCAAACGTGGCACATAATTTGTCCTCTTGGCTGCTTTATGCAATGACAGAGAAGGTGGAGTCAAAGATGTTAGTTCTGACTCAAACTCTGCCATTTACTAGGTTGAGTAAGTCACTTAATCCCTGTGAGACACACTTTCTTTATCTGTTCAAAATGAAAAAGGCAATAATATGCACCAACATTCTTGCGCCTCCCGAAATGGCTGTTATACTCCTGGGATATTACCTATGTGAAAGTGCTTAGTATTAGTGCTAAATGTTAAGGGTTGTAAGGATATTAGCTATTTTTTACATTAATGATGGAAGGATGTCAGCATAAATAAAAAGGTAAACTGGGGTGAGCTCAAATGACCAGATATTGTGTTTATTTGGGAATAGCAGAAAAATTGCAATAGGAAACACATGTTATAAGAAGCTACAGGTGAGTCTGTGAAGGGTTTGGTCTTTTGAGGGTTTGGAAGGGGGCTGTATTTATGGGCAAGGAATACAGAGAGGGGAGGTCCAGCCAGAATCCAAATGAGACAGGAGGGAAGGGGGCAAGGCACAGCCACTCAAGGAATGACAGCAACCAAAATGGTAGATTCACCTCCTAGTTGGCTTTGAGGATTAAGAGGTTTAACTTGTATAGACCTTGAGCTTCATTATATGCTCATTGTAACAGCATGATCAAATAATATGCCTGCAGGCATCATGACAGCCCCAAGGCTAACCACAAAAGAGAATGGCTGGTGGCCCAATCCCTGGGAATCCCAACCCCTTCCTCAGGGCAGTTGGATTGATCCCACCTGTAAGCGTGTGAAGCTACTGAGACCATAAAAAGTGACAACACCATGCCTAATGGCCCCTTTGTGCTCTCTCTCCCCTTTGGAGATGGCCCATACCCTGTCTGTGGAGTGTGTACCGACTTTTACTTCAACCTGAGCATCCAATTCCCACACCTCTTTCCTTGCCTTTCTCTTGCCTTATAATCTATGCAGTATGTATCTCGAAATAAAATCTACCTTAACTCAACAGTGGCTCACACTTGAATTCTTTCCTGCGTGAAGCCAAGGACTCACACTTGGCAGGGCTCGTCCCAGGGGCTCAGCTGAGACCTGGGACTTGGCCTCCTCATGCCCCATATCCATTTTTCTGCATCACAAACAGTGACTTGACTGGCTTGAGGATGGGGAGAGATCCTTGGTGGGTGTTTACTGGTCAGAAGATGAGTCAGTCTTCTATAAATCAGGCATTCAGTTCTTTTTCCTTTTTTTTTTTGAAGTTTTAGGATTTAGAATATTTTTATTTTTCTCTTCTCCTTGTCTTTTTTTCTTTTGCAGGGGAGGGGTAGTAATTAGGTTTATTAACTTATTTTTTGGTGGCGGTACTGTGAATTAAACCTCGGATCTCGTGTGTGCTAGGCATGTGCTCTACTGCTGACTTATACCCTCCCCCTGCTTTCAGTTCTAAAGTTCAGTTCTTCTGAGGGTGAATGCATGAGATTCTGTTTCAAATCATCCAGTTCCATTTTAGATTGAAATGCTTTCACAGATGTTAGCATATTATAACTTTGTGACTGGTGGAGAATATAATTCTATTTCACTGTTTATAGCGAAACACTCAACTGCCTAAACTAGCTATACTGTTTGCCTTCAAGAACAATGAAGTGGTGAGTGCAAGAAATAATGACAGAGTAGAAGCTGAAGTTATAGAGTCATTGCTGTGCTACCTGGGCCAGATCTCAGCAGTGTGTTTATCAGAAATTTAGCAACTGGAATAGATATCTAGAGATCTAATTATATGTTCTCTTATCTACAGTAAGAGAGCTAAATTGGAAAATCATCTCCTGATCCTCCTACTTATTCCACTAACACGTAAGTAGTTAAATCTTTTCTTACTCCACTCTTTCTCTTCCAGCCCATCAAGACTCCCTTCTCACATTCAAAAACCCTCATTTCCTCATGAAAAAAACTTCTCATCTTCAGAGCCAGCATCCTCCACTGTTTAGAAGGAAACAGGCTAAAACGTTAACAATGGTTACTTCTGGATCATAAGATTAAGAGTAACATTTTCTTATCATATTTTTCTGTACCTACCAAATTTTCATAATAAGCATTTATTCTTTTCATGCTAAGAAGAAAAACAAGGAAGCAGATTTATTTAGGCAGCTTTACTCAAAGAGTATTTTATTTTAGATAATACTAATCCTAGGAAATACCCTGCAATAAGTAAGAGCGCTGACAAAATACCTTTGGCAAACACTAGGCACTATCTTCTTTTGGGAGAGTCCCAAAACACATAGTACATTAAGCACTTGAAAGATCCTGCAACAAAGAAACCTGTTTAACTTTGTTTAATCCAGAATTTTCCATATTTTCCCATAAATCATGTTTTTCCTGCAAAATCTGTAATTTTTTTGTGAAGTTAGCAAGCCACAGAATATCTTTCTGGGAAACACATGTGGTTGAGAATGACTTTCTTTGATTGAGCAAGTGGGTGACATGGCTTTCTCGACCAGGGTCCATGCATCACTAGAGGGTCCACATGTGGGCTTCAGGCAGGTACCACAAACCCTACAGACTATATGAGTGATATTAAGTGTTTGTACATACATGTGCTTTCTTCGTGGAGGCAGGGTCCACAATCCTCATTACATTCTCAGGCATCCACATTCTGAAATCATCTCAGGCATTTTCATTCTGAAAAGACGAAGGACCATAGACATAAAGTAAAATCAGCTTCTCGACATCCATCACTTTTGCCTAAGCAACACTTTGCCATCAATACAAAGCAGAAAGATCAAGAAATCTGTTACCATATTTAGCAAAAATGAAACAAAACAAATAAGGCACCCAGTTAAATTTTAGTAATTTCAGATAAACAGTGGACAATTCTTTGGTACAAGGATGCAATGTCTGGGACATCCTAATGCTAAAATTATTTGTTGTTTATCTGAAATTAAAATTAAACCAAGCATCCTGTATTTTATCTCACTGCCTTAGTTAATGAAAATTTATTAACAATGGGGCTATGCAACACCGTATGAGAAATGCCTTTCTATTCAGAGTGTGGCCCACAGCCCATCAAATCACCTGGAGGTTTACTAAAAATGCAGAATCTCAGTCTCCACCAGCAGTGCTCAGAGTCTGCCTTGTATCAAGATCTCTAGGTGAAATGATCTCTAGGTAAAGAATTTCTGACTTGGTTTTTGACTGCAGTTGCACATTGGCATCGCCTGGAAGCTTTAAACCTACTCCCGCCAGAGCTTACTCTCAGAGCATCAGGTTTAGTTGATCTGAGGCACAATCCAGACTGCAATATTTTTAAACAACCCCTCACTTCCACCCCAAATGATTCTAATGTGTAGCTGCAATATTGTGATTTATAAGAAACATATATTTAGTCATTTAGATGACCAGAATATATTCCTCATAAACATATTTGGTCCTTGCTCATGGTTCCCGGCTCAGAGCTCCGAAAACTCCTGGAATTTCCTGAATGATAAGAACAGTGGGAGCTTCTCTTGTTATAATATTTGCAGACTTGTCCTCTGTTCCTGAAGTTGCTTCAGAGCCATAAAGGAGGCTTAGGTGTTATTTGTAACAAGCTCCTTTTTGCCACAATTGTGTTTATGTTAAGGAGGTGATGTTTGGAACCCACAGAAAGATGGGGGCTGGTTGCTAGGAGAACCAACCGTGGGATTAGAGGGTTGGAAATTTTGGTCCCACTTTTGATCTCCCTAACCTCCAGTGGAGAGAGAGGGCTGGAGGTTGAATTAATCTCCACTGGCCAAAGATTTAATCAATTATGCTTATGTGATGAGGCCTGCCTGCGTTAAAAACCCAAAGGGAGAAGGTTTGGAGGGCTTCTTTTGGTGAACGTGCGGAGATAGGGGAGAGAGCCACTGCTCAGAGAGAGAGCACGAGCCCTGAGACCCTTCCTACATACTTTGCCCTGTGTATCTCTTCTGTTTGGCTGTTCCTGAGTTACAGCCTTTTATAATAAACTGGTATTATGGTAAGTAAAATGTTCCTCTGAGTTCTGTAAGCTGCTCTGGCAAGTAAATTAAACCTGAGAAGGGGATCATGGGACTTTATAGCCAGTCAGTCAGAAATACAGGAAACAAACTGGACTTTTGACTGACATCTGGGGTGGTGGTTTGGGGGCTGCAGTCTTGTAGAACTGGGCCCTTAACCTGTGGGATCTGATGCTATCTCCAGGTAGATAGTGCCAGAATTGAGCTCAATTGTAGGACATCCAGTTGGTGTTAAAGACTTAGTGGTGTGGGGACCCTCCTCCACCATCGGTATTGGGTGTGGAAATTTGAGTAGTCTAGTGGCACCTTTATATAAAGTTGAGGACCCAGCCAGGGTAAGGACTTCATCAGAACCACCTGTGGAGAGTTTCCCACACTCCCTGTGCCCAACCCAAATCTCCAGGTGTGGCTGCAATTTCAGAAAACATCTGGAACAATACTGCCGTATACTCTCCCTGTAGTTGAGAACCATTAAAGTTGAGGGCACCTAACATGGAGTTATCCAGCTGCTACCGGGCCCCCAGGACACTGAGGGAAGAAGGTCCACCTATGGGAACTCAGCATTCAACTCGAGTTAAGTTTGGTTTTCCCTCTGTTTTCCTGGCAGCCACAGAACCACAGGTGGGAGGACACAAAAGACAAGGCAGGATGGAAGGAATGTCATGATTGTTCTAATTTCTGTGGAGAGTTGCAGTGGTGCCTGAGGATGAAGGTGTTCACTGTCTCCTGCCAGATTAAGTCATTTGTTTCGGCTCTTGGGTTGTGAAATGGCATCCCACAAGTCAACTTAGAATACTAAATGAATTATGAAAATGGTTCTAGCAGAAGTGGGGAATGATTTAAATAATTCTGAGTTATATTACCCAGTGCGGGTGGTGATTTGTTCGCCTACAGATAATGTGAAACACAGCTGCGGAGAAAGACATAAAGCGATTGTCGGGGGTGTTGGATCCCTGGGCTGACAAATGGGCTAAGCAGTAACAGTTAAAGCAATCTCAGCCTTTCCTCCTGCAGTACATGGTAATTGAGTGCAAAGCCTGGTAAGGAGCAGGCAGATTTAGTCAAAGAAAAGAAATCTCTGTCTCATTAAATCTTAAGTATTTCATCTAAGGGTGAGCCTGCACGATGTCTTTGTCTTTTAGATACTTATTTTGCAATTTCTTTTGGAAGAAATTTAATATCAATTTAACACTTTCTCAGCCTTGGATTTATTTTCCTATTGGTTAAAAAAATTAAGAAATGCTTGATTTTCTTGAGGAAGGATGAGAAATGGGGTATAAATGCAGTAAGAACTGAGACAGAGGAACAAACAGGCCTATTTCTGGGCTTACGACCACTTGGTGGCCTGGAGGCTTAATGGCAAGTTCATTAGGTTGATGACATTGACACAAGGCAGTCAGTGGGCTTCTAGTTCAAAGGAGGTCAGCTGGTGTTTATTTTTTCAAAGTTTCAGGGCGGGTCTCCTTTAAGGCCAAAATGTTGAAGAATTTTATTCAGGTAAAATGCACGTGGTTCACGCGCATTGTCTTAAACCCTCCAACTTTAACTGGCTTAGGGATCATCTGGGGATCTTGTTAAAATGCAGTTTCTGACTGAGTAAATCTGGTGTGTGGCCTGAGATTGTGCCTTTCTAATAAGCTCCCAACTGATGTTGACTCTGTGGGCCTGCAGACCACGCTGTGAGTAGGAAGGCTGTGGAAGTTTTGTTAACCGTGTATACTAGTTAGGGTTTTCTAGAGATAGAACCAACAAAATTGATAGAGATACACATATACAAGCGTACTTTGTTTTATTACGCTCTATTGTACTTTGCAGATACTTCTTTTTTTTTTTAAACAAATTGAAGGTTTGTAGCAATTATGTGGTAAGTCTATCAGAGCCATTTTTCCAGCAGCATTTGCTCACTTTGTGTCTGTTACGCTCTGGTCATTCTCACAATATTTTAAGCCCTCTACCAGCAAAGATTTAACTCACCGAAGGCTCAGAGGATGGTTAGCATTTTTTAGCAATGAAGTATTTTTAATAAGGTATTTATATTTTTTTAGACATAATGCTATTGCACATGTATTAGACTACAGTATAGTGTAAACATAACTTTTATATGCACTTGGAAACCAAAAAATTTGTGTGCCTTGCTGTCTTGCGATACTCATTTTATTGCAGTGGTCTGGAACTGAAACCACAGTATCCCTGAGGTCTGCCTGCACACATGTGTATTGAGAGATTGTATTTATTTTAAGGAATTGGTTCATGCAGGGTGGAGGGGTGGCAAGTCCAAAGTCTGTAGGACAGACAGGCTGGAAACTCAGGCAGGAGTTAATGCTGCAGTCTTGAGGCAGAATTTCTTTTTCAGGAAACCTCAGTTTCGGCTCTTTTTTTTTTAAACATTTTTTATTGATTTATAATCATTGTACAATGTTGTGTCAAATTCCAGTGTAGAGCACAATTTTTCAGTTTTATATGAACACATATATATTCATTGTCACATTTTTTTCTCTGTGAGCTACCATAAGATCTTGTATATATTTCCCTGTGCTATACTGTATAATCTTGTTAATCTATTCTACAATTTTGAAATCCCAGTCTATCCCTTC